GAATCTTCGGCGTTGACATATCGAATAACGAGCAGTTTCGTGATCACTTGGAAGGGAGACCTGAATTGACCTCTAAAAAGCTTGGCGTGCTCAGCAGAGCGGGACAGTATTTTATGCCGACACACTGCTTGCAACTTTACAAGGGGCAGGTTCGGCCTAACATGGAATACTGTTCTCATCTCTGGACTGGGGCTCCCTAGTACCAGCTCCTTCCTCTTTACCACATCCAGCGCAGAGCAGCTCAAACGTTGACGACCGACGAAGACGAAAGGCGAGACGAAGAGATGTTGCATCCCTTTGCATTTTCTATCGCATTTACCACAGGGAGCGTTCGGAGGAATTGTTCGTATTAATTCCAGACGCAAAATTTCATCAACGTATTTCACAAATTTACATCATCGGAATGTTAGGCGGCCCAGTACTGTCGGACCGCTACGTAATGTTACGGGAGCTTCAAGAAACAAGCTACTCCTTTTTATAAAGCCGGCAAACCGCCTGCAATTTCCCTGGCGTTGTATTTGTTAGTCGGTATGGTGGTCGACACTTGACATCAGGTGAGCCGCATGCTCATTTGTCCCACTTTTCTATATAAAAAGAAGACAATAAAACGAAGTAGACAATTATCTTTAACAATGTTATATTTGTTTTCTGGAAGTTGGAGTAACTTTTGTGATTTTTTGTGATTGTTCCCGGTTAGGGGCCAAAAAGTTAAAACTCGAAAATTCTTTATATAACTAGGATAGTACATAATTTTTCGAACGTCGTTCTTGAAGACAGAGGGGCCCCTTTAGCTTGGGGACCCCGGGGCACTGCCCCGCCTAGCACCCGGGTAGCTACGCCACTGACGGCAAATGATTTTTCTTTTTTACAATTACATTCATAGAGTTTCGACTAATCACTATAATTTTAAATGTGTACTTATAAACAGTTTGTTTTTCGTCATTTTTACAATAGTACCATGTACCCTTATGGTGTTACAAACAAAATGATGGCCTTGCTGAAAAGTGAACTGCTTAGTTATATGTATATACTATAGGCTGTATAACGCAGCGGTTTCTAAGCTTTGTAATGTTGTTATCCCTATGACCTATTAATCACTGTTTAAAATTATATCAATAATCATAATAAATTGCACAAAAATGTATGTCTTTCCCTTTCTAGCAGCAGTTTTTATAAGTGTAGGTTACATAATGTAGCGCGATTGAATGCAAGATAAAGCTACACTTGGTGCTGATATATTATTTCATTTAAAATTATTAATTGCTATACGAGACGAGGATGGCTGCATGCTGAATGATGATGTTTCCAAGAGATGGAAGGAATACTTTGAAAGCGTGTTTAAGAGTGAAGAGTCGTCTGAAGTAAGCGAAATAGAAATTCCGGAAGAAGTGGAGAGAGGTAGGGAGATAAGTGTAGATGAAATAATGAAAGCTATGAAAAGCATGAAAGCAGGTAAGACAGCCGGATATGAGAGTATCACTCGAAATGCTAAGGGCTGGAGAGGGTGTGGTTGCAGGCCTGCTGTACACCTTGTTTAATTTATGTTGGGAACTGAAGCGGGTACCGGAAGACTGGTACAAAGCCGTTATAGTCCCAATATACAAGGGAAAGGGGTCGCAGCAGGACTGTAAAAACTACCGTGGTATCAGCTTGCTTAGCAATGTGGGTAAACTGTATGCTAAGGTGTTAATTGAAAGAGTTATGGAAGAAACTGATGGAAAAATTTGGGATGTGCAAGCTGGATTTATAAAGGGGATGGGATGTATGGATCAAGTCTTTTCCATGCGCATGATTGCGGAGAAATTTTTGGCCAAAAACGAGAAAGTTTTTGTGCGTTCGTGGACTTGGAAAAGGCTTATGACAGAGTGAACAGGAACGTGTTATGGCAAACACTGACCTCATTTGGGTTGAGCGCTGGTCTGACACAGGCATTAAAGTCTCTTTATAGGGACTCTAGTGCTTGTGTCAGGATCAACGGGGCCTACTCGGACTGGTTTGGCATTCAAAAAGGTGTCACACAGGGTTGTGTAGCTTCTCCGTGGCTGTTTAACCTATTTATGGACAGCTGTTTGCAAACTTTGAAAGTTTAAGAATGTGGGTTGGGAATGGGTGAGTTAACTGTCAAATGCCTTTTGTACGCTGATGATCAAGTCATATTTGCATCATCGGCGGCCGAGTTGCAAATGACGGTTAATTTAATGAACTGGTCATTAAAAGAATGTGTAGCATGAGCAGGTGTACTCGCCCCTAGCTGCCCCAACAAAGGTCAAATATCCCGGGGCCCATCAGCGGTAGATTCGACGTTCAACTAAGGGTGGGGTCCAACGGCCTATGGAGACCTAATCTACACAATAGATATAAGGCTAGGTAAATAAAAAAGCTAAGACTGCCCCGAGGCTCTGTCAGGCGGTAGGTGGGTGTAGGTGCATATAGTAGTGTGTAGTAGTGTTTATATATGTGACCTGACCTAACTGAGGTGATCGGGCAGCGGCCTGGTCCGATGCTGCCCCACAATGTTTATCACTCCAGCGGACGTCACCAATTGACAACTTCTTCCTTCATTTCACTGTTTCAGTCTATCAACTTTATTGTACATTTAATTAACTTCAAACAACTAAATTCAACGTTCATCGAAATCAAACACGTGACACCTGACACAAATAACGAACAGTCGTTCAAAGTTCAATATTCAAGGTTCGGTTCATGTAGCACCAAATTACAAACAGGGAAGAACGTGATCTCTTCTCGAGTCACAAAGTTCAGCGTTACAAACAACAAACTAAATTCCTTCGTACGATATTAAATACTACGCCCATTAAGACTCAAAATCAGCCTAGCTGACACGCAAACTAACTACATGGTCAGCACACAAAAGGCACTTAACGCGACGGTACAATTAAACATTAACTTTAACTTACAAAAACAATTAACCGGGCCACGCCCTCGAAATGGAATGCGAGCATCAAATTCAAAACCGTATGTCCACTCGGCGTGCGCGCAAGGTTTCACGTGACACAAGCAAGTTAAATATTGCAAAATGCACTTCAACATGCAATCACTATACAATTGACGTAATTACTTGCAACGAAATTACTTTAATCAGTCAAATTCAATACGCCTCTTGTCCAAAACGTACAACTTAGACAAACTAATTGGGGGCGGTCTACACGAAACCCAAATTCAATAGCAAATTAAACGCGCACAAAAATACCCAAATTCTAGACCACAAAACCAAAAAAACTGGTCGAGCGAAACCGTTGCAGCGGTCACAAAATACGACAGCGCCGTTGCTGTCAAGCTACTGTTTCGCACTCGCGTCCTGCACTCGCGCCCTCTGCCAAGCGACCCACACGGGAGTGGGGCGACGGTGACATTTACAAAGTTAGTGGGCGGACACGAGTGTTGAATGCAAATATCAAATGTTAATTGTTTGGCCTAAACAGCAGGGATGGTAGATATGACAAGGATATAGAACGACGAGTGAACGCAGGAAATAGAGTTAATGGGGCTCTACACGCTATTATGAAGAGTCAGAATGTGTCAAATAAGGCACGTATGGCAATTCATAATGGTGTGTTAGTCTCTACTTTAATGTATGGTAGTGAAAGTTGGGTATGGCAGAAGAAGCATGAGAGTAGAATAAAGGCTGTAGAAATGCGGTCATTACGTAGTATCCTAGGGCTGAATCTGAATGACAGGGTGAGAAATAGTGTGATAAGAGAGATGTGTGGTGTGCAAGATGACTTTGTGACTAGGATTAAAAAAGGAATGCTTCGGTGGTTTGGTCACGTAGAAAGAATGAACGAGGAAAGAGTGACAAAGCAAATTTATGTTTCAGAAGCGAACGGCAAAGTCGGGAAGGGACGCCCTAGACGAAGATTTATCGACCAAATCGGCGATACATTGAAAATGGGCCAGATTAGGAGTACCCTTAACCGACGAGCGTGTGTGCGTAAATATATGGATGTAAAGGAGGCGAGAGAAGTGTGTCAGGATCGCGCCAAATGGAAGTCCGTAGTCTCTGCCTACCCCTCTGGGTGACAGGCGTGAGTGTTTGTATTGTATTGTATTTAAAATTATTATAAAATTATCTTTTATTTGCTGCGCAATAGTTGTTTTACCTACCAGTGAGTACCTAGACTAAGGTGTGGAAAGCACAATTATTGTTGTTATCTCTAATATCAATAAATTTTAATGCATGAATGTACATTATGTATGAAATTAGTGAATTAAAAAATAATACGCAGTGTGATAAGTCTTGGTGTCTCAGGCGTAACAAGTGTCACAACTTCGTGAGCAACCTGGGTTCGAGTCCGATAAGCACCGATTAATTGTTAATTGCATTTTTAAGCGCTGATTGCTTACGTAAAAATGAAGTAAAACAGCATTTTTAAAAAAAAAGATTGGGGGTATGTGTAGTTTGTTAACATGCGTTGAAGCAACGTGGCTTTTACTGCCTGCAGATAGTAGTATTTTCCTAATGAAATTGAAAGCAAAGAACTTTGGTTTGTAACCCAAATGTCTAGCATGTTATTTATAGCAAAATTTGCCTATTGCGCAATTCACAGGGATTTAATAAGTTGATAATGAAAATAAATTAAAATTAGACTGATAATAAGAAGTGAACATCGCCTATTTCATTTAATTGAAAAGAATAAATAATTTTGCACAATAGCTTCAGAAGTCGGGGCTGAGATGTATCGAAGTATTAAAGCCTTCACATCGGGAGCTATTATGTGAAAAATGTTTTATTATTTTTATATCTTTAAGGGTAGCTTTTATTTACAAAAAGTTTAATTTTGACCTCTTTGAGTGGCTTTTGAAATGGCATTAGGTTGAATGACGTCTAAATAGTGACACTATTTTTCCCACTAAGTATAATCTATTTAATAAAAAAAGAATCGTAAAATCGGTTCACATCCAAAAGCAAATCCAATTTATATCTTGTACATTTTGAAGTTTGCTGAAATAAGTAACAAATAATATGTTAAACCTCGCAGAGAGTTCCAAGCCAAAGCGGGAGTGTCGCAAATGCGAGGGCGCGGCGCGATTGCGGCGCGACGCTCGCCGCCGCGCCTCGCGCTGCCCGCGCCGCCCGCGCACCCCGCGCACCCCGCACCGCCCGCACACCCCTCCAGGTACCCACGCACGCACACGATACACACCCACACACATGTATACTTTGCACTCACACGTGCGCACTCACATATAAGCGCGCGTGCCTCCTTAGGCACAACATACCCACACACATAAACATTATGCGCATGACTGACACACACGCACACGCACGCGCGCGAATTTACACTCATACGCACGACGAACACACACAGAATGTGAGATTTTTTTCTTATATAACCCACATAAATGTACAGGAATTTGTCTCATCGATCTAGTGGTCGTAGATGCGACTGTTGATCATGTGGCCCCGGGTTCAAATCCCGAATCGGATCAAAAACCGGTTATTGGGTTTTTCTGCCAAGAAATTCTCATTTTTTTGTTGTCTCACTCCCGTACCTTAGGAAGTACATAAAGCCGTTAGTCCTTCGTCTGATCTCTCTCGTCGTATCGGATTACCGTCCCATCGGACTATGAAAGTAAGGAAATAAGTAAATGCATCTGTGTTTGCGCACACACTCGTGTGCTTTCTTTTCTAATACAATAACAGAAAACGAAACGACGAAAAACTTATGAGTAGGACGCTATCTTTATTTATTCATAAAAAAAAATCAACATGATACAACAACTTCCAATACACAAAAACCTTTCACATATACTTACACATACTTTTAAGTAATTATATACTAGTTATTATCTGTACCTTTTTATATAATTCCTTCTAAGCTATTGATATTGTAATTGCATGTTTAGATGTTTAAAATATATAAAGCTTTTTTATAGTACACAGTGGTAGCATCTTTGCTTGATTATACATTTTTTTTTTGCTTATTTTTTATTTATTAAGAAGTGGTTGGACGATCCCTCATAAACATCTAATTAAAGTATTTTTTTGTAAAAGTTCAGTACGTCGTTAATAAAATTGAATTTTGTTATATTACAAAAGTAAGCCATTATGTTAAATAAATTATGTGCATTTAATTTAATAACAAGACTGAATTAATTCAGTCTTGTTATTAAACTAAACACAACCGAATCCGAACACTAGTTTATCTTAAGAGAAACTAGTTGTGTTCCGCTCTTTTCCCTTTAATCTGATGTCTGATTCAATTGCATCTAAAGCTCTTTTCATATTTTATAGCAATGATTTTACAAAATAACAATTACTAAAAAATAATTTTTATATTTTTGAAATAATACTTCAAAGTGGTCCAAATTTCTTTTTTTACCATACTTATATTGGGTATTTTTCAATAATGCCCTATTAATCACTTAGTTCATAATATATATATATATATATATATATATATATATATATATATATATATATATATAATATATAGACTAGAAACTTTAAAACATTTATTTAAATTGCAACTTTTCAATGATGATGACACTGTAATCGTGATTATTTGCGTAACAGATAAGTTCACCTTAGTCCTAACTAGCGACATTTGGTGTATGGTAGACTAACGTGTCAAATACCCTTAGACTAACGTGTAAAGTACCCAATACCCAGTTTGAAGTGTGTCAAGTTGTAGTGTAGTCCAACCGCTTCGTAGTTAGAGGTAGAGCTAGAGTTAGGTACGTTGCAGCACGGCCGGAGACAGGAGAGGCCCGCGGCCGTCCGCTCGCCGAGCGCTGCGCGCCGCCGCCAGCCCGCTCGCCGCACCAGCAAGGTACGCCTCACACCATGCTAACATACCTCACGAACATACGTCTCCACACCACTACTGTAACACCACACATCTCCATCTCATTACCGGATTTTTTTTATAGGATAGGGTGACAAACGAGCACACAGTCCACCTGATGGTAAATGGTTACTGTGACCCATAGACATCTACATCTATCCTCAATAAAGACTCAAGATGCAGATGCGTTGTCACCCGTGAGGACTAAGATGGAATGCCTCTTTGCCGTAAAAAGGGTCTCCGGTTCTCTACACTCACCATACAAAACACAGCAGCGTTAAGCTGCTATTTTACGCTGGTTTTCTGTGAGAGCATGGTCCTTCCCCGGTCGAGCCGACCCATTCGTGATACAACTATACTACTATAGCTGCAGCATGGCTCTACCACGTAAAAAAATTGCCACCACGTAAAAGGATTGTGTGGAAATTACCCGCTCGCCGCACCCACTGCACGGTACACGCCACACCACGCTAGCATACGTAACAACACAATTACATCTCATAACTGGACGGTGTCATGCAGAAATTAGACGCACCTCGCTACGCTAACATGCGTAACAAATTATTTCTTCATATCACAACGGACGGTGTTATGCAGAAATTACTTGCTCGCCGCACCCATCAACAGGTACGCATCATACCATACTAACAACTCGTGAACGTACGTCTCCATATCACAACTGGACGGTGTTATGCAGAAATTACTCGTTCGCCGCACCCACCAACAGGTACGCATCATACCACGCTAACAACTCATGAATATACGTCTCCATATCACAACAAGTTGTTTATGTTGTCGGTGTTTTAAAATACAATAATTTGCCGCACCATTCTATACTAATTTTCGTAACAGCACACGTCTCCTCCTCTCTCATTACTAGATGGTGTTATGCAGAAATTACTCGCCCTCCGCGCACACTTCACATCAGGCTAACATACGTACATAACAAAACATTTTCACATCACAACTGTACCGTGTTATGCAGAAATTACCCGCTTGCCGCACCCACCACAAGGTATGCGCCACACTACGCTAGCACACATATTATAACAACTACATCTCATACTGGACTGTGTTATGCAGAAACTACCCTCTTGCCATGCATGCCACTCGGTATACACCATAACATACGTTACAACTCACTACTGGATGGTATTAGGCACAAATGATCCTATTTATTGTAACTGTAAACCCACAAACTTCCCATAGTGATTCAGAGACTTGAATGACAGATTTTATCGCATCTATTAACTTATTTTATATTTTTGTATATTCACACACGGGAGGTCTGATGTGTCCGACGTTTCGTCTCGAAACGTCAGTAATATAAAGTAATTTTATAAACGCCATAATTTGCTTAAAAACTGGTTTCATTCCATGTGTAGTGTTCGCGTAAATATAAAAAAAGAGACTTTCTTTCGGTTTATTTCCAAAAACCAGCCAAGTGCGAGTCGGACACGCGCTTAAAGGGTTCCGTACCATCGTCAAAACACGTTTCTAGTATGGGAGCCCCCTTTAATTTTGAATTTATTTTTAATTATAGCGGCAACAGAAATATATATTCTGTGAAAATTTCAATTGTCTACCTATTACGGATCACGAGAGACAGATCGCTGACAGACAGACGGACGGACAGCGGAGGCTTAGTAGTAGGGTCGCGTTTGTTACCCTTCGGGTACGGAACTCTAAAAATAGAATAGAATAATTCTATTCCAAGATTTTTTTTATATAGGATAGGTGACAAACGAGCACACAGTCCACCCGATGGTAAGTGGTTGTTGTGACCCATAGACATCTACATTTATCTTCAATAAAGAATCAAAATGCAGATGCGTCGTCACCCGTGAGGACTAAGATGGAATGCCTTTTTTCCAGTAAAAAGGGTCTCCGGTTTTCTACACTCACCATACGAAACACAGCAACCTTTAGCTGCTATTTTACGCTGGTATTCTGTGAGAGCGTGGTCCTTCCCCAGTCGAGCCGACCCATTCGTACTACAATTATACTACTAATATAGCATGGCTCTACTACGTATAAAAATACTTCTTAATAGATTACAAGAATAATTCTTGAAAGTCTTTTAATATTTACTAGTGGTTCGAAAAAAAACTGTCTTGAGAAGAACCAACAAGAAATTTAACGGGAACCAAATCAAGTATGGAAAACTTCTAATAATAAGTGACCCCAAAATCTACATTCCATTTTCTTTAAAATTATTTTCGTAATTTAATAGTGGTGAGAGCGTGATCCTTCCCCAATCGAGACGACCCATTCGTGCTACAGCCATAATATAGCTGATGCGTAGCTCTACCACGTGTAAAAAAGAAATAGCTTTATTTTATGTGTTTTAATAGAATACGGGTGACAAATGAACACACAGTCTATCTGGTGGTAAGTGGATACTGTGGCCCATAGATATACAAATAAATCATTAACATACATTTTTAAAATCGAAAGCCAACAGTTCAGATTGTAATGTAAAATATTCACAGTTCCAGATATTGGAGGAGGCGCTACTATTGATATCGTAACTTTATTCCGTATTTATTTGGTGTTTTAATTCCCCTGTATATATTTAGGTTTGCCTTTTTATAGTGATTTATGTTGCATATTGTACATATATTGTGCTTTTGCTGCTGCTGCATGTGTTGATTCATAGAGCTTGTGTTTTTGTATAACATAATATCTTTGTTTCATATAAGTTATAGGTTTATTTCTAAACTTAATTTTTCTTCTATATTTCGTTATAATTATACTTTATTTTATTATTTATATTCTATTGGTAATTAAAAAATTTAAAAATTCGTAATATTGACGGCGCCCCTATCACAAATATTTGATAAATTCGTCATTGACATGTGATTGACTAAGGATTGCAATTTTAACTTTCATCAACTAACACTGTCATTTCCCCCATTAAAAATTAAAAATTAATCATTACTGTTAATCGAACTGACAATACTGCATTTTGAGCTACATTGCAATTTTTCGTCGTAATTTTGCAATTATACGCCGTATTATTGCAATTGTTCGTCGTATTATTGCAATCCTTAGTTGTATTATACGCTCTCTTATCTAGTCGTTCATTTATTCTGTTATTTTTTTGCAGCTCGAATGTCCGCGACGTCTACGGCAGCGCGCATCCTCAGCGACACAGGCACAAGCACCACAAATCCTCTCACCGACATTCGTCTGCCGATTACTAAACGCGATTACGACTAAGAGCGATAGCGACTAAACTTTACAACACGCGACTGGTTTTGTTTTTAGTTTGGCATTTGAGTTTGCATGTTATTTTAAGATATATTGTAATAGCTTTTGAATTTATTTTTCAATGTTATCAATAAATAGAATTTCATCTTACTGATATTATTCCAAAAGATTTTGTGACTAAATAATTGCTTATAATCTGTAATTAAAAAAAAAGTTCAATAGCTGGATTGCGGCTCGGCCACCATAAAACTCCTGCACACCTTGCTCGAACTTGTGCCCATATTGTGATCAAGTTAAACTATTCATCATCTGTACTTTGAATGCAGCCATTTTAACTTTCAACGGCTTTTATTAGCTAGTGATGTGTGTGATAGTGAAAGTGAACCCATTGCGAATAATTACCCCTGCCGCTTGACTGTGTTTTTGAAGATTATTTACAAATACATTAAATCCACAATAGAAAATCTATAAAAACGAAGATCCCGAATGAAATGAAGAGATGGCTTAAAACACAAGCATCCAAGCCAAAAATTTTAATAAAAAAGAACTCGATAGCTGTAGTTTTTTGTTAATCTACTATACGAGCGTTGAGCATGCATGCAACTCATGAAGTTAGAATTATGTATAAATTAAATCTTACGAGTCTTTTTTATTTATTTCCTTTATAAATCATTCTCCTTACTAAACTTCTTCCTTTCGCTTGTAAGATAGAGGACTCTTAATATAATTATTATTTACTTGTTACTCCCATGACTGACTTTGACACTGGCAGAATTATATCAAGAGAAGCCATAATTTAAAAGTAGAACAAGAAGAACTTGATGATTTTTTTCAACTAGTCCCAAAATTTATAATTTAAAGACTACGAATTTTCATCAAAGATGAAATGAAAACATGTCGGATCGAACTGTATGAGACAGTAATAATATTGACGAAATTTCTGCGGTTTTTTTTATAAATTGCGAAAATTTTAGTAACTATTATAATGATGTCACGATTATTGTAACTGTAAAATTAATCTTTTTATGTTTATAAAACAATATTGCTGCATTCTGTGTTATATTTTAATCTGCAAGTCGCTATCGCTCGGTTATTGTAAACAGAACGTATTTCGTGATATCGAAGCCTTCTTATAGTTCGCTTTTACACGCTAAGGTGTGTTCATTCGTAAATAAACCTGTCAGTATAGTTAAAGTCGTATTGCTTTCTCTCGCTAGAAGTTATAGTAAGTGATGTTTGGTTGAAAGAGACAGAAAAACATAAAAAAATCTCCCTCTTTTTGTAATTTTTATAGACGTCCGTTACACGGAACTAATACGTATACATAAACGCATTTAGTTGATAAAAAGAGATAGATCACCACTATATATGTTGTCTCTTTCCTCCAAATTATGTATTTTCTGACTGGGTTACTCATAGTGGCGTATGCTCTAAGACTAGCTAGATTGTATTTAACGTGATTATTAAGCGCTTCGTAGTTTCAATTGTACGCTGGATACGTTCATAAGATTCATTTCCGTACAAATAGTTTAGTAATAGACCTAAGAGAAATGGAAGCACCCCCTTTTGTCTGCTATGGGACTTTGAACTTTAATCATCCCGAACAAAAGCAAAAACAATACTTTCTGCGTGCTTTGCGATTTAAAATAGCTGTATAATAATGTACACGATATTCCATTCTATCTCTTGATGTCCCGTTCACTCCTTATTTACTGACTTTCTTTAGTTTTATCAGGTACATTTTCCTCTGGCAGATGATAGGAATTTTTGATGTCATATGAGGCCCTTTCTTACCCACCTTTTTGAGTATTTTCATAACCTCAAAGAAAGCTTTAAGGTTGTATTTTGTTGGACATCAAAATTTGTATTCTACTAAAACTATATTTCATTAGCAATATTCGTCATCATCAGCAAATTGCGTCTACAAGAAATAATAAATTAAAATTATTTAACAGCTATATATATTTTGAGTGTTATAAAATCCGGCTCTGATATTATAATGGTTATAATAAAACACAATAATACTTATTAATTGAATAATTAAAGAATTTTGTCGACCATATAGTTATTAATTTAGTAGTGATTTTCTAGTATTAAATTTTGTTGATGAATTTTCTTTGTGCGTGACAACATTCTCCAATGACTATATTATAACAGAGTTCTGGCAACTCGGTGACGGGTATTATTATCAACCCATTCTCAGTAATCTATTAATTAAGTTGGAAATAAGCTTAGGCAATAGAATGTGTTGTAATAATAGACGATAAGGTCAGTGATGTAAAGAAAAATTAGAAGTAGAAAATGAAATACGCTGCAAGATTTTTTTCCATACTTTTTGGGAATTATCTACATTTGGAAATGGAAGATCTCCCGGCATATTAATTAGTTAGATTATTTATCAAGTTTATCTTAGCTAAAGTATAGTTTAGTGGTGAACACACATAGTTAAGTTATTACTGCGAACACAGTTAGATTGTTCTAACAATGACTATATACAAGTTAATTACCTACCTTTCGCATTATGTAACTATGTTATAACTATATGCAGGTTACATTTTCAAGAAGAAACAGTAATGTAAAATTTGAAACATCTAAATTCTTCATTAACAATATGATTGATTCATTAAAGACATCTTAATGATTTAGTGTAATGGTGTTGGAATATAAGTAACCTATTCCTGCAATAAAAATCTTGTTCAATAATTGTTTTCTTTTTTATTTCTTTAAGTAATCGATTATTATTCCAAATGCATAAAATATCTCTTAAATTCAATTTTATTAATATGTTTTTTTTTTAAAGTCACTTGGTCGTAAATCTTGTTTCCACTAAGATTAAATATTTGTCTTGATCATTTGTTTATGATTGGTATAACTTGTAAATTTTTGTTGCGTTCGTGGCAACTGAAATTAATGTTTTAACAACTTTGACTTTAAGAGGAGATCTTCGTAAATTTCAATTTTTTTAAATAACTATATTTTTAGACGTAATATTGGTGTTAGATTTAAAAGAACCAACAATTACTATCCTTTGTGTGATCTTTAGAAATAAAATAGTCATTATAAAAATGTTTTTTATTTTTTTTACAAAACGTGGTATATGAATGTGGTAAACAAGAAATTAGCACTCTTATATCCAAAAGGTTTCAGGTGTACACTTTTGCTTTAGTTAATTTCATCCCTTAAAATACAATGTGAATTATTGCATAACAGTGTAAAGAAGCTAATAAACTACATTTAGAACTTCGGTAAATGTCCCTAAAAATCTTAATAAAAATTACTACAAATTTGCTTTTTTTGTTCAATATGTTTTTAATTGTGCTTATGCGACAAATTTTAAGCAGAGCTATTCAGTCTTACAGGCAGACCTTATATTTTTAGTTATACAGCCTTTTAAATATGTTTTTTTGAGATATGGCTACGGCATAGATAATCGACTACGTGGTGGTTAAGTATTTGGTAGCATCAAAAATCAAAATTAAATTTTAATTTTTTTTTTATAATTTTTACTATAATTTAATATTTAACAATTTTCTATATTTTATATTCTGGCCGGATATTTAAGAAAAGAAGCACAATTTATGTACGATAATTTGGTACACTACATGTAGGCTGCAGTTATTACAATTTATAATATTTTTTATATAAATAAATATGTAAAACACGGAAATCAAAATGTTTTGGACTTTTCCTAAAGATCCTGAAAGATAGTTAATTAATTTTTGTCTTATCTCATTTCATCTTGTCCCCTCCCAATTTTTCAGACTAGTATTATCGTAACTCGCTCCTCTATCTCTTCCAGAATTTCAGTTTAATATGAAGTATTATCAACTTTAAGCACATTTTTATTTGCATATCTCAACTTCCGTTCTGTTCTCCATAACAAAAAAAAAATAAAACACCGTGTTCAAATTTGTCAAATTATCATGTATTTAATTAGAATGGAAACCAATAGAAAAAAAAAGTTGAAATTAAACTAGTTTTGACATTTAAATTTTTTTTAAAGTAAAAGAAATAAATCTTAATTACTAAGAAAAAAATTTCTTATAAACAAACCCATTACCAGTTTAGTAAACTATTAAGTAATCTGTGCCATTACCACCAATTTAATAGTATTTTTATAAAAATATTTGATCGAATTAAATAATAATAATAACTATAATTTAAGAGACAAATGTGAAAAAAATTAAGAGGCAGCGCTGGTATTGCCTCCATCTTTAATAGCAGCCATTTTGTCCTTGGCGCCATTCTGTGGCTGTCAGAGGCACAAACGGCAGATGTCGTCGTTTATCTCAAGGACTTGATCGATAAACGATTGGTTGGATAAGACCTTGGCGAGTTTGCAGATGATATTGCGTAGTTCACCTTCCTTATAGTTCATTTGTGCGTTGCAGAGCTCAACCTCTTCCGATATTGAGTCTGGTATCTGTGAACAATGTGGAAAGTATTAGAAATAAGTCTTCAATTCTTAATGTTTCACAAATATGGGCTTCCAATTCGTCTAGTTCTCTCAGTAAAAGTTATAAATGATGCAAGCCAGAATACTAGTTTTTGTTTTGTAATTGTAATATATGTAAATTTCGAAAAACACTAGCATTACGGAGTGACGAAGGGAGCCTGCATAAATTTACATCGAAGTATGTTTATCTTTAGAAATATAATTCTTCTGTTCCGATTTTTCCGTATCTTTCTGATTTTGATTAAAATTTGTGTGTGTTTGGATGAATCCCTGGATGGTTTAGATTTACGATTGGACCCAGTAGGTGGCACTATTGTCCAGAAATCACAGGTGAGAAGCCGGAGCGGGTCACTAGTATGTAACCCGGGTTCGATTCCCGCTGGCACCAAAGGAATTGTTAATTGCAAATTGTAGTGGTGAAGTGCCACATGATGAGGAAAACATAGGAAATCGCATGTCTGAGGAATAAAATAATCCGAGGACATGTGAAGTCTGTCAACACACACTGGAGGCAGATCTCTGAGCTTAGTGATCTAAGTCTCTGAGACTTCATCACCAAGTGTTATGTAATTTTTTTCTACCGGTATAAAGATACACAAACATATGTAACACTTGGTGGTAAAATAAAGATTTTAATATAAAGAAATACATTCCAAAGGACAACTTCTTCATGAAAAGGAGAAGAGAAAATCGACTAAATAATGACATGAGCTATTTTTATTTAACTGTGCTATATTTTTAAGTTTTTTTTGTTGGTTCGTCCCAGGAGAGAAGTATTAACATCAGTTATAATAAAATTTGATATCAAAAAGAATTATGTTTTAATCTATATTTAATAAAAATATCCTAATCTAATCTGTTATTAATGTGATAAGAAATATTTAAGGGCGAGTGGCGTATAATAATATCAGTTAAAACCAACGAAAACAACAAAATAACTTACAAACTTAATGAACACTTTAGTACGTAATACCATTATTTATTCTTTGCCTTTAGGTACAGCGCAGCTGTAAGTGAAAGTACCTATAAATGAAATTATGAATAAATAATCGAAGCGACAAATGCTGAAAGCTGAATTACGCATCCTTCGTATGTAAATTATATAGAAATGAAGTTAATGGGCCGTTCCTTTCCCAAGTAATTTGCATGTATTATCAAAGCTTTTGCCCTAAATACGCCATGCATAAAATGTGAGTATGACGCTCATGTTGTAGTCTGACGGCATCATATACCTACTATTGGCAACTTAACGTCAGTCGATTAAGTTTATTTCATTATATGTATATATGTATTAGTTTAATGTAGACTTTTATCTTTTTTATAGAATAAGGATGACAAACAAGCACGCAGTCCACCTGTTGGTAAGTGGATGTTGTGGCCCATAGACATATCTACATTTATACTCGATATAGAATCAAAATGCAGTGACAACGTCACCCCAGGGTACTTAGATGGAATACCTCGTTTCCAGTAAAAAGGGTATCCGGTTCTCTACACTCAACATACGAAACACAGCAGCATTAAGCTGCTATTTTACGCTGGTATTCTGTGAGAGCGTGGTCCTTCCCCGGTTGAGCCGACCCATTCGTGCTATAACCATAATATAGCTGCAGCGTGGATCTACCGCGTGATAATGTTTAAAAAAGTGGGTTTCTTGCTGGTTATTCCCAGGACAGAGGTTTTTTTTGAAACAGTGTTAACCCCCCACATTAGGAATTTCTCCTATATTGTGGAACTAGCCTTTGTTTAGTCATTAAGGTTACCACAATTTTACCGGTATTTCAAGCCCTACATGGGCCTTTCCTAGTAAAAAGATAGTTTGGTACTCGCCAGGTTCCGCTAGCGATTTAGACTGTATTAACAAAATGTCTCGCCCTTTGGACCATACTTCTCGATACCTACCAGTCTAGCTTACATCGGATATAATCAGGAGATTTTTTTATATTGCTATCTACGAGAGGACATAGTCAATGAAAGTGGATGGATATAAAAGTAGAGGGAAGTCTTAGAAAATATGGATAGACTGTATTAGGGATAATATCCATAAGAAAGGAGTGAGTGAAGAGATAGCGGTTAATAGAGGAGAATGGAAGAGGAAAACATGCTATGCTAAGACCAAATAATTTGAGATAAGATTTGGAATAATTTGGATTGTCAGAGTATACTCCCGAAGTGTAGCCCCCCTCCCCCCCCCACTAGATGGAATGACAACTTGGTAAGCATGCAGGAAGTTGATGGATACAGGTGGCTCAGGACCGTGCTCTGTGGCATTCCTAGGGGTAGGCCTATGTTCAGCAGTGGACTTGTGTAGGGCTATGGCAAACATCCCCGCATAAGCGAACTATTGCTATGTAAATATAATACGTAACTGTTGAATGTTTCAAAAAAGTTTTAAAGCATAATTTATTTGAGTTACGGAAAACAAAACAGTTGTTATACGTCACGTAAAGTAAACGTGCCGCTCACACGTGCCGGGAAGTTTGTTCAGATTAGTTTAGATATTTATGTGGTTAGCTGATGATGCAGTGCTTATTGCACCATCAGAGGCAGAACTGCGGGCATTAGTCACGTGTATGAAAGACGAATGTGAAATTAAAGGTCTCCGTTTGAATGCTAATAAAACTAAGGTTCTGGTATTTGAAAGGGACGAAGAGAGAACGAAGTGTGAAATATGGGTAAATCAGGAATGTCTAGAACAGGTAAATGAAATTGTATACTTGGGGAGTGCTTTCGGCCGGGATGGAAGAAGTGATTTAGATGTGAACAGGCGTGTCGCTACCGGGAAGAAAGTCAATGGTGCCCTGACTGCGTTAGTCAAAAGGCAAGGCGTAGTGAAGAGTGCACGCCTTGCAAGACATAACGCAGTGTTGGTACCGACTTTGTTATATGGCAGCGAAACCTGGGTATGCCAGAAGAAGCATAAAATTAAGTTGAATGCAGTGGAGATGCGATCTCTTCGTAAAATGTGCGGCGTTACCATGGCCGACCGAAAGCGAAACGAAGAGATTCGCAATATGGCAGGTTTGAAAGATGACCTTATCACAAAAATTGATAAGGGCGTGCTTCGATGGTTTAGGCACGTTGAGCGAATGAGTGAAGACCGAATGGTGAAGAAAATATATAGCGCGACAGTAAATATTAAAAGGTGTCGAGGTAGACCGAGACTAACTTTCGAAGACCATGTGAGCAAATTGCTCGAAGAGGGGAGGGTCAAGAGTACTCGGATACCTAGACGTGCATGTATGAAGAAGATAATGAATCTGAAAGAAGCGAAAGAGGTATGTAAGGATCGTGACACTTGGCGATATGTTTTCTCTGGCTACCCCGTCAGGGATTGTGCGTGAAGATAAGTAAGTAAGTAAGTATGTGGTTTTATAACTATTCTGAACGTTGACACAATTCGTTAAGGAAGGTTACCAACAGAATACCACAACGTAAATAGCAACAACATACTGCCGTGTTTCATATGGTGAGTGTCGAGAATATTAGATTTTTTTTTAAATTTATTTATTAACTTTTACAAAATAATTACTTAACATTATAACTTCGCCAAACTGTAAAGACAGTTTGTTGTGTGGCGAATTTCATGGTATTCGTTTTGATTCTTAATCAAGGATAGAACTCTTGATATAATAAAATATTTTTTAATTAAAATAGATTATAAATAATTCTTATTGAAAGTCATTTTTTACGTTTCCCACTGGGTCGGGAAACCTGTATCCTGAGAAGAACCAGCAAGACACCAAGCGTGAGATTTTATTTCAAAGTAACTTTATACAATGAAATACACACTAATTAACACACCGTGTATTCAACGATTGGCGTCAAATTTGCTCTCTCGTTCGCGACATACATCTTTGTTTCTCTTTTGTCAAGTTTGTGTTTGGATACTCCGACCGTGAAGAGGCTGTGTAAGAATATCCACTACCCAATATCGTCCCGTGGGTGTCGTAAGAGGCGACAGAGGGAAACAAACCAGTTCATGGGCAGCAGCGTCTTTCTAACAAATAAACAAGTGGTAATTTTTTTTTACAACCGACTTCAATATAAATTATTAAGGATAATTCAAGAACTGTTCTGACCTTGATCAAATTTATATGGGACCACACGAGAAGCACCAGCTTTCAAATAAAAAAGAATCATCGAAATCGGTTCACCGAGAATGAAATTATGAGGTAACACACATTAAAAAAACATACAGTCGAATTGAGTACCTCTTCCTTTTTGAAGTCAGTAGAAAATAAAAACCTGCGGTTGTCAACCCACCTTCCAAGCGTAACGTCTATGCTAAATATCCCCCTACGAAGCAATCAGTGGGGGAGGCCTATGTTCAACAGTGGACTTTTGATAGGCTGTGTGTGGATACTCACAGTGTCGGGGTCGATGAAGGTGTTGAACTTATACTTGGTCTTCTGCTTTTCGGTGCCGCTGTCGAAGAATAGAGTGAACTGCGCGTCTTTGCCGCGGCCGCCTACCGGGAAGTATAGCCCGGCTATGAGGTGGCCCTTTTGGTCGCGGGCAAGGAGACTCCTGGGGTAACAAAATATTGACGGTCGGTAAATTGGGCAGTAGGTATCATTGGGTTGGGGATCACTAGTGCCCGAGTATTGGTGCAACCTTCACCTTCCTGCTTATCAGTTAGGTATTTATTGGCAGTATTTTTATATTATTAATGTTAATTCTTGTAAAAGGCCCAATTTTCGTAATGGATAGGAACAAAATGGAATATTCGATATGTCTGTAGAAATAATATGGTATATACATATATAGTAATCTATAGAAATACTAGCTATCCGCCCCGACTTTGCACCCGTTTTTTCTGGGTCTCGACAACAGCGCCACCTACCGGGTCCAATTGAGTTTTTAAACCCTGGATGGGGTTTATTTTCCCCACTCAAACGCACAAAAATTCTTCATAATCGATCGAGCCATTTTCGAGTTTTTGCGAGACTTACGGACTGCAATTGATTTTAATACATAGAGATATAATAAAATTCCTTATGTTTATGTTTATGATATTCCTTATGTTTATTTATGTTATGTTTATGATATTCCTTATCATATTACTAATATTTATAGGTTTTTTTTTTATAAAAAAGGAGGCAAAGGTTTCTGCGGTTAATGGTATGGCTCTGTTGCTAAGTGATCACAACCGCTAATGTACAACTGCAACACTAGAGGAATCACAGAGATGGTTTGCTAGCCTTTTAGATAGAAGTAGGTTCTTTTCATGAAGTTTTCTAAGTCGTATTGATCCGGAAAACCTGCTGGCGACAGTAAATCCCACAATTTGGTTGACTTTGTTTTTTTTTTTTTAATTTTTATCCCTGGAATGACTTTTGAGGTTTGGGAGATACGCACCTGAAGTTGTACACAAGATTCCGCCTCTCGGTGACATTGACGCCGTCCAGGTATGGCCTGGCAACGTACACCAGCGAGGTCTGGCACTTGACCGTGGCCCCTCGCGTCTCCCGCTCGCGCCACTCCACGTAGCTGCCGTTGTGCGGGCTGAACGCGTAGCTGTACTCCTTGCGGCACTGCGGTTCGTCCGATTGTGTGAACCAACCTAAAGAGGACGGAGACAAATTACATTTTTTACATAGAATAAGGTTGAAAAACGAGCACACAGTCCACCTGATGGTAAATGGACGCTTTGGCCCATAAATATTTACAATTGTCCTCGATGAAGAATCAAAATGCAGATGCGTTGTCACTCCTGAGGACTAAGATGCAATGCCTCTTTTCCAGTAAGAAGGGTCTCCGGTTCTCTACACTCACCATACGAAACAGCAGCATTAAACTGCTATTTTACGAGCAGATATTTTACCCCTATCGAGCCGACCCATTCGTGTTACAAGCATAATATAGCTGCAGAGAAGCTCTACTATTTATGAAACAAAAGATGGGGTCAAAACAATTATTACAAGTAATAACTCATAAAGGATCCAACCGATAAAAAGCTACGTAAATAAATAAATATCCCCAGATCGACCCGCGGGTGTCGAAATATAGGCAACAAAGGAACAAAAGTCAGGGGATGGGCAGCAGCATCTTCCTAAATCCTAATCTATACATGTAAATAAAATTGAAGTGTCTGTCTGTAATATTGAAATAACTGGCTCTGGGAGATTTTGCATACTATAACCAATTTTAAAACATTTTGTCTCTCTGTCCATCTGTCTGAACCGACTGTGATGTAACTTCACGAACTTCGTGAAGTTTTTTTTTTTATTAATATGTGCGACGGTTTACAAGCGCGCTAGTAACCGCGGTTTCAAGTTTTTATCAGGAAGATGTTGCCTATATCTTGTTTCATCTCCCTTTGTCGCCTGCAACGACACCCGGCGGCTTTAAACGACGCAGATGATGAAGACGTCTGGTAATCTAAACCGCACTATTCTATGCTAGATCTAATGATCCGATCTACTTTACTATTGATGTGTCTCACCTGGTTTGAAGAGATACGACACGATAGGCGAAACACGTGTTGATAACACCACACGTGTTTCGTCTCTAAACGAGGTATCCTGAAAAATAGACTGCGGTGGCTGACTGCTAAGACCGCTACTTAGGCGCTCTTCAAACTAGTTAAGACATATCTTAGCTACATTAGTTTTTATCATCTTTGATATAAGTTAGTTTTAAAACTCACCGGTATGCGGATACGCTCTATCCGCCATGACGGTGACAACCCTGGGCACATGGTACCCGGGATCGGCCAGCAACACACCAGGGCGGCCGTCGACCGTGATCTGCACGCAGACCATCACATGCTCCTTCTCGGCCGCCTCCACCGACGCCGGCCCCTCCCCACTCGTCACGTACTCTCTCACATCGACCACCGCCTCTTCGCACGAGACCAACGCAGTCGCCGCCGCGAAACCTTTGAACTGCTTATCCAAACTCCGCCACCTCCTGATCAACTCGAAACCCAGCCCGACGCAAGTGTGCTTCCGCGGGCGTATAGGGGGCGAGTACTTCCCGAACAGATCTTGGAGGGGTTCGGCGGATTTCTCGAAAGCGTCGTACAGTGAGAGGAAGTTGTTGACGGAGTCGTAGTTGTCGGTTAGCAGGAGGCGGCGTAGGACGGCCTCCGCGCGAGTGACGAGGTCCTCGTGTGAGGTGGGTGTGAGAGGTAGTGGGAGACGCGGCGAGGCCCAGCGGGACCGAGGCAGGGGCGGGCTCAGGCCGCGTGATGCCGAAGCGAGTCAACTCGGCCACTCGGCGCCCCAGCGGCCGACCGCGGGCGCGGCGGCCTCGGCCTCCGCGCCCACCTCGGCGTCGGCCTCCACGCCGCGCGCATCGTCGCGGCCTCGCTCATTCGCGACCTCGACGCTCTTCAAGAGCGTCTCACGCTGCCTCTCTAACACCAATGATGACGATTTTTCACGCTCTGTAGGAAAATACACTGTATTAATTTTCGGTGCAAGCTTGTAACATCAACAATGATTTTAACAAAATAATTAAACAATAGTAAAGTTAGTAGAACTACGCTCTCACAGAATACGAGATTCTTCTACTGTGTTTCGTTTTTAGACCTTTGGTACTGGTATTGCCAGTAAGATAGAATGCCTCGTTGAGTCCTCATGTGTCACCCTTGAATAACAAGTTCTAATTCGGTATTTTTAAATAAAAATATTGATTGGAAACAAATATTGTTTTCTAAGACGAACCACCCTGTTAACCAATAGAAATAGCGTGGTGGAGCTATTGAATGGGTCAGCTCAACCGGGAAAGGACCACGCTCCCACAGAATGCTAGCTGTGTTTCATATAATGACTTTATAGAACCGGTGACGCTTTTTACTTGTAACGGGGCATTCCATCTAACTCCTCAGTAGTGAGAACGCAATCTACATTTTGATTCTTTATCGAGGATAAATGTTTGTGTATATTAGCTACAGCAGTTCTTTACGTTTAGCTGGACTGTGTGGTCGTCTGTCACTCTTATTTCATAAAGAAGTAAACTCAGATGAAGAACGTGTACTCGTATGCGTCATTGAAGCCGAAGTTAAAACGAAATTCACGCAAATGAAGCAACAGTAGGTAAATATACTCGTAGTATTCTAAGAATGTTCATCACTACGATTATTTTCTTTTATAAAAGCTATTAAACCATTATAACATTACTCACTTTAGCTACCTCCCACTCCTTTTCTTTCTTATCTATGTACCTCTTTAAAAAACAATTGCATTACGGACATGAAAACCTGTTAATCCTTTCGCATAGATACACACTACAACGTAATAAATGTAGAGCCATTCTGTAGCTATATTAGTAGTATAGTTGTAGCACGAACGGGTCGGCTCGACCGGGGAAGGACCACGCTTTCACAGAATACCAGCGAAAATAGCAGCTTAGCACTGTTGTGTTTCGTATGGTGAGTGTAGATAACCGGAGACCCATTTTACTGGAAAAGAGGCATTCCATCTTAGTCCTCACGGGTGACAACGCATCTGCATTTTGATTCTTTATTGAGGATAGATGTAGATGTCTATGGGTCACAGCAACCACTTACCATCAGGTGGACTGTTTGCTCGTTTGTCACCCTATCCTATAGAAAAAAAAGTTGTCAAAGTACAAGCAATGTTCTTGAGTTACTATCATTTGATAGTGATTCCTAGAAAGTGGAAAATATTTTACAAAAGTCGATTGAAGAAATAGAATGACCATCGAAACCATTGTAAATGTTTTCAAAATAAATACCTTAATAAGCAATATCGTAATGTGCCAATGAGTATTTGCCTCATCATTGGGTCATCATAAGAAGCATTGAGGCTAATTTTCTCGCACGTGTAACGCTATAATATTATGATAGCATTACACGTGCGAGAAAATTGTAAGCGTGAAATACTTTATTACTCTTATAGCTTTACACGATACAGAGAGATTTGATTTTGATATTTTAAAATAAATTTACCACTAGAGGCTTGTTTATTAGATTTTCCACGTGGAAATGTACTTGATATTAGTAAAAAAAAAAATTAATAAATTTCAAAATTCTTATGGTTCGAAAATTATAAATAAAGTGAAGTCACAGTTTACATTCTACGGGCACAGGTCATCTCTCATTTCTGAGATGATGACCTGTGCCCGGCGAAAAGGTGACCGCCGTGCTCCCCAATGTTGAGGTACTTCTCATCGGAATATATTTTAGACATGCAGGTTTCATTATGACGTATTCCTTCACCGCAAAGCACGTTTTAAATCAGCTGTTAAATTACAATAAAATTTTAGTCGGCGGGGATACAACCCGAGTTACTCGCATAGGTACTGTAATATTTACGGTGAACGCTTGACTCCTGAATTACCACGATTCTTAAATTAATATGATCATCATCAATAGAGCTTATACATAAGCCTCCTCCATTGATTGCGTAATAAGGAAGGTATGTGTCGTAGCTGCCACGGTTACCAGGCGGGTTGGAAACAACAGCTTTTTATTATTTTAGTTGTTACTAACTGATACCCGCGACTTCGTCCGCGTTGCTTGATATATTAACAAAGAAAACACACATCACTGAACACGTAGTGCAACCTCTATTATTTTCAGCCGACTTCAAAATGGAGGAGAGGTTTACAATTCGTCGGAATCTTTTTTATGTATGTACATCGATAACTCGAAGACGCCTGAACCGATTTGGAAAATATTTTTTTTTGTTTCAAAGGGTATACTTCCCAGGTGGTCCCATTATAATTTTATCGAAATCGGTCACGTTAAAAAATCATCAATAAATTATATTTATATTGAAGTCGGTTGTACAACATTTTTAATTATACCACTTTAATTTATATAGATAAAGGCACTGCTATCGACACCGGTTTCCAGAGTCGTAGCGTGGATTAATATAGACGTGGGCGAAGTAGCATCAACGAGGCCCCTTTTTCTTTCGTTCCCAAGATCTACCCAATAGATCTATCCCATATCTTTTAATTCCTGACAAGTCTCGTATTCCGTCAATGTAACAGTCGCGGTCTTTGAAGGTAGTTACAACGGCCTCGCAGTCGCACTTAAGAGGGGCTTCTTGCGAGGCCCCAAACAAACAAATTTGTAAAAATTGTAAAAGTGATAATTAGTCATCTGTGGTAAAGTCTTACAACGCACTTAAAAGGGCCTCGCGAGGCCCCTTTAAGTGCGAGGCCGTGGGCAAGGGCCCATTTCGCCCACGCCTAGCTATGCCACTGCCGGTTTCACTTCCCTCTGTTTCCTCTTACCACACCCACGTGATGAATGGGGCAGTAGATTATTTTACGCCTCTACCACTCTGCGAAATAGTGTGTAATAAAAGTGAATTGTGTGCGATTTGCTAAGTAATAACTTCAGTCATCTGGCTTACGTCAGCGACTCAATATAGCTCTCGTAAAAACCTCTGACGTAAAACTTAAGTCAATGAATAAAACAAACTATTTTCAACCGACTTCAAAAAGGAGTAGGTTCTCAATTCGTCGGAACCTCTTTTTATGTATGTTCACCGATTACTCGAAGACGTCAGAACCGATTTAGAAAATTCTTTTTTTTTTGTTTCATAGTGTATACCTCCCAGGTGATCCCATATAAAATTGATCAAGGTCTGACCAGTAGTTTTCAGTTTCCAGTAGTTTAGTAGAAGTGGGTTGTACAAAATTTTTAATTTTACTTCTTGTTAATTGTATCGTTTTATACAATGATCTAAATTTTGTTTGCTTTCAGTTTTAACTAAAAATAAAGTTATTGACACACCACAGCTGGATACAGCAGGTCTATTCGCAAACTTTCATGACACCAAAATGATAGTCACCTTCCAACCGACTTCAAAAAAAGAAGGAGGTTCTCAATTCGATTATATTTTTTGTAGGTCCTCAGAACTTTTTTCTAGGTGTACCGATTTTGATGATTCATTTTTTTATCTGAAAACTGGCGCTTCTCGTGTGGTCCCATATATATTAAGATCTGACCAATAGTTTTTGAGTTATCCTTAATAACTTCGAGTGCATTGACGATGTTCTCATTTTATTTATATTGAAGTGGGTTTTACAAAAATTTTATCTTTACCACTTGTCAGTACATTGCGCCGTAAGCTGCAAAGCTTTTCGATAAGAGCTACCATGGCCATCGATCACTAACTAATAAAAATACTAAATACGCAATCAGTGACAAAAATGTTCTTACCGAATGAGCGCCCACTCGAACATTTGGGTGCGCTTTTAATTTGTGCGTAGCTTTGTGAATACAACTTTAGGCAATGCGTTTAAGGTTGAATTTACATAAATGTGTTTGTTATTTCAACTAGAATAATTACGTCTAAACAATTGGCGACAGTTTTTAGAGAACTTTTGCATGGGATTGTGTATCTAGTTTTTTATTAGTGATGACCATGGCTCATAAAACATACGACGCAATGTACTATCCTTTTGGTGTCAACAAAGTTAACGGACTGGCCTCCTCTCCTTTCTGATGAGAGGGTTAGGATACAGTTAGTTCGCCGCGCTCCTTCATTATGTGTTGGCGGATTTCACTTATCTTTTTGTGTGTGTTTCTCAGATATATGCGGATGTCCTCAAGACGTTTTTCTTTATGTGAACGCTGTGAACGTTGTAGTACGGTTAACCAGGAACGATCCCCCGCATCAATAAATTTGTTAGTTGCAATTTTAAGTGCTGTTTTACAACATGCTTGGCTGTTTTTTTTTACCGACTTCAAAAGGGAGACGGTTCTCAATTCGACTGTATGTTTTTTTTTATGTGTGTTTCCTCATAACTTTGTAATGGGTGAACCGATTTCGATGGTTCTTTCTTATTTGAAAGCTGGTGCTTCACATGTGGTCCCATATAAATTTGATTAAGGTCTGACCAATAGTTTTGAGTTATTCTTAATAATTTATATTGATGTCGGTTGTACAAAATTTTTAATTATTTATAGAATAAATGGGAAAAATGAGCATACAGTCCACCACAGCACACACAGCAGCCACTTGTACATAATAAGTGGCTGCTGTGGTTAATAGCCATCTATTAAAGATTAAAAATAAAATGCAAATGCGTTGTCATCCTGATGACTAAGATAAAATGCCTCGTTTCCTGTAAAAGGGGTTTCTGGTTCTCTACACTCATCATCTCACCAAGGGTATCTGAGATATACCTTCATGCACTGCAGCAACTTAAAACACTCTCCGGAGGAGTTGGGGTGGTTCTCTTGATCAACCAAAAGCTTTCCACCAAGTAAATAATTTTAAATTGTTACTTCCTTTTTAACCTCCAAATAGGCATTTTATAATTTACTATTCAATTGAAGCAACAAAAACGTCGTTATCTGCTATAAACTTCTCAAAATAATTTATCGTGCCTAATCAACCTTTCATAACGTAATGCAATTGATAAAATTCTTACTGAAATATTATTATGTAGTTAACAATC